AATATTCTTTTTGGGTCTGTGGGTTAATTAGTTTTTTCTTCATTTTTATATACTTGTAAATAGCTAAATAGACGCCCCTCATGAAAACCAGCCGTATAGCTGATGAGGATAGCGTCTCTAAAGAAATTAAATACATACACATACATACATACATACATACATACGTGATCGGTAAATTTTTTAATAAAAAAGTACGTTCAAAAATGGAGCAGATTTTTGATTTCTAATTTTCCAAAGAAGTGTATGTCCGTCTACGGTGCAGGCTAATAAGGGCGGTGAAGTGACACATTTTGTCATACAGATACGATATACCGCAAGCATTGTGCCTATAAGGGCTGTTTTCCAGTTACACGTGCGACGGGAAAAGTTTAAATCGTTTAAATTTCATAAGTGCAAATAACCTTGACAAATACACATTAAATCATACACAAAACTGAATGCTGTCGTTTTATAAATTTAGTTATTTCATAAGTAGGATGTAAAGCAATTTCAACTTTTACGTGCGTGTACGCGCGTGTACGCACGTACGAAAAACGCATAACTGAAATGCAGCCTTAAAGCATGCTCGCAACACAAACTACAGTTGTCATTTGCGACTTAATATATTAATTTGCTAGTAAACAATGTTAATGTTAATAGTAATGATTACTACTACGTCTACAGCTTTGATAAACGCCATACTTCTACTTTGTATACAAATACAATTAAAATACACAATTGGTTCTAAAGTTACGAATCACGCGAAAGATGAGGGGAAAAAAGAAGCTAAGGAGTGACAAAGACCGGCATAAATTCCGCTGTGACCGGTAAATTTAGTGATCCACCGGTCATAATGATCGGTATAACATCCAGATTTATTTCGAGGCCTGGCCACAAGGTAAGTATAAAGTTACCAATAAACCTTGGCCTTGCCCTCGACCTGTAGCCGGCGAGGTTACCCAACACGGATTGGAAATCATGGTTAGAATTAATTGTATACATATACATATACATACACATATACATATACATATATACATATATACATATACATATACAAGAAGATCAGTGTTGCTTACAAATTACGCTTGTTTCGGAATCTGTACTAACTGCATGAGCACACACATGCATCAGTTATTTCAATTTAACAAAAATATTCGTATACAATACAAACATCAAACAATGGCACATTGGCGTCATTCTTTGAATATTTTCAATGTTCATGCACACATACAATATATACAGACGCACCTGCAACAGAAGTCCACAGGCAGAGAAAAATGAAGAAGAGTCTTGTTTGGTATAACTTTCCTCAGGCTTTCCAAAAGGTTATTTTTTACGTCAATTTAACGATATATCCTAAATATTCTGCTGAGTGTTGATTACTCCAGCATTCTTTCTTGATATATGTCAACTGATACTTCACAATCTTGCTAGATGACGATTTTGACTTTACTCTAACTCAGCCAGTTTCATGTATATTGCATAGCCAACCTAAAAAGTATGTTTGACCATTTAAATATAAATTATAGTATTTAATTAAGATATTTTATGACTGTTATTAAGGCCGATTAAAAACCAGACGTCTTTTATCTTAACACTTTTTTAAAAAATCGTCTGACACCAAATGTCCAAATGAAAAGCTGAAAGTAGTCTTTCCTCGAATTAGACTTGCATGGACGGGTAATACGAGCTACCTACAAACTTTGTAGAGGTCAAATCTGCTCAAGTTATGTAAAGAATTTGAGATATTAACTGGTTCATGGAACAGTGCACGCGTGCATGGTTGGTGTTTTAATGCTTTAATGAAATACGTCTAAAACAGTATTATACTATACACAAGGAGGAGTTATACTTATATACTGAAAAACTAGATAATAATTATAGTTATTTACAAGAAAGACTTCATAATCACTGTATGGCACATACAGGGTGTCTAAAAAAAAACGCTATGGAAATTCAACAGGCTGTCGTGCATCATAAATGTGGCTAAACAATTCAATTTTTACATAGGACGAAAGAAAGTTATTTAGCTTTTGAATGATACTCTTTTTAAATCGTAACGATGAGAAATGGCCACATATTCGTCAAATTAAAATTGGCGGTCGAAATCACATTCTTCCACCGTTGCCGTTGGGAATTGCATGGAAAACGAAACATAAACAATTCCCAAGAGGGAATTAAAATTGAATGTTAAATTATCTAAAATAAGCTCAACTCGACAATCTTCGTCAGACAATAAGAACGTCATTATTGATTAAGGCGGATTTCCAGTCCTCGCACGATTGCACGAAGCTCCTCGCAGCGAGGCTCGCTGCGAGTGATGCATGAGCACTTTCATCCAATCACAATGCTAAACAGTTCATTTTAATTAGATGCAAGCACTCGCAGCGAGTTGCGAGGAGCTTCGTGCGAGGACTGGAAATCCGCCTTAAAACATGGTTCAATTAACCACTGAACAGAGAACATTCGTAATTAAAAAGTTTTACGAAACAAGTACCTTGCAGCAGACTCGCGGTGCTTTTGGATTGATTAACTTTGCATAATTAATGTTTTTCAATTCCCAACGGTGGATGAATGTGATTTCGACCGAAAATTTTTATTTGACGAGTATGTGGCCATTTCTCATCGTTACGGTTTAAGAAATATATCATAGAAAAGCTAAATAACAGCTCTTTCGTCCTATGTAAAAATTGACTTGTTTAGTTAAGTTTGTGATGCACAACAACCCAGTGCCGTAGCCAGAACGATAATTGGGGGGGGGGGCAAATATTCGTATTCACATACCATAAAACAATTGATTTCAAAAGAAATTAATAAAGCAGAACACGAATATATGAATATCCGCCCCCCCCAATTATCGTTCTGGCTACGGCACTGCAACAACCTGTTGAATTTCCATAGCGTTTTTTTTTTAGACACCCTGTATATTAGGCGGTAATTAGAATGTTGCTGTTATATGCTATTAGTATTAACAACAACATAAGACTGCAAAACGAACATATAGTACAATACAAACGATTCAAAACGATACTGACTAATTAGCTACATTAAGTGACTTAATTGAAGGCATGGCAAGTGTTTTGAAACTTGAGGTTGATTGGCAAAGATTGAATGGGATGCGATTCCAGGTAACGATTGTTCTTGGATAAAATGAAAACTTATATACATTGACACACGACTGAATCTGGCGGTAAAGACAGATATTAGGCAGCCTGGATGCTCTAGTCAGAAGACACACGTCATCAGGAAGACTGATTATAAAATAACATGTATATAACGCGTGCTCTGATTGGGCGAAACCCGTGTTTGGATCAGGCCATCCAAACACGGAAATTTAATATAAAGTGAAAGTTTTTTAATTAAAGTGAAATTTAACAAGGAAAGTTGTTATTTTATAAAACAATTACTTTATGGTTTCCGCATCCAAACACGGAAACCATAAAGTAATTGTATATTCCAACAAGGCCTTGATGGATCTTGTAGAACATAGTGGCTTGGTGTAGCAGTCGCCGATGTTGGAGACTGTCCCAACCCAGGTGGTCGGTCACTAAAGACAAATCTAGCAGCTCTGCTTTGAACCAGTTCCAGACTGTAGAGACATATTCAAGTTGTGGTCTTGTGGATGGACAAGACTAGTATACGCTCTTGACTTAACAACAGTGCTACATTCACCAAGGATTCTTCTAAATAAGCCAAGAGTGCTATTTGCCTTACTACATATGATGTCACAATGTTTATTCCAGTTCAAGTTGTGGTTTATAGTAATGCCCAGGTATATTTCGTAGAAGATATTCTGCTAATGATTTGATTATTCATCACATAGCTATATTTTTCAGGGGCACGTTTATTTGTAATTCCTAGGTGCATGGTAGCCTAATTAGACGTAATTCCACTAAGTTACACATGAACTTTCAAAGAACTAATTATCGTAAATATACTGTGTTTAACAAAGGGGTCTCTATATGGAATTATCTCAATGAAAATATCAAAAATATCAAATCATATTTCTCTTTTAAGAAAAAAATAAAATCCTATTACTTACTATCTGCTTAATGCAAATACTGTAAAAATAATGTCAACTTTTATATCTTTATTCTTTTAACTATTTTTATGTAAATAATCGTAATATATACTGTTTTATTTGTCTACATTTGTAGTAATTGTTAGTTAGAAATGATTTTTCAAAACTAGGGGCCTTATCTAAAAGTCCAACAGGATTTCCAAAAGTTCCTAGCCCACGTATACTATTGCAAATATTCTACATTACTTTGTACATATCTTTTGTGGGCAAAACAAATATATACAATACAATACAATACAAAGCAGCATTTTGAGAAATTGAAATTTAGTTGCCACTTGTTAGCCCAATTATTTAGATGGTCTAAATCCTCTTGTAAAGTGACGTGGTCCTGATCGTTATTAATATAAATGATTCCATCGTCAGCAAACAGGCGAATTTGGGATTTAATATTTTCAGAAATATCGTTTATATAGAGAAGAAATAAGACAGGTGCGAGAGTTGTCCCTTGAGGTACTCCAGCCTTGATCCAATTGGCGGAAAGTCTTCTAATACCATAATGGTCTAATTTGGACATCAGACGAAGATGAGGAACAGAATGAAAGGCTTTACTGAAGTCTAAGAGAATCACATCGGTTTGTTTCTTTTGGTTGATACTTTTTGCCCAATCGTTGATTGCCGTAATTAGTTGTGTCTCACACGAAAATAGTTTGCGAAATCCGTGTCGTTCATTAATTAGAATATCATGATATGCCAAGTGCTTTGAAACATGGCTAAGAATGATATGTTCCACGACTTTGCAACACAGACACGTCAGAGAGATTGGACGGTAGTTGGCTGGGTTGGATTTTAAGTCCTTCTTAAAAACAGCAGAAACAAGAGCCTTTGACCTTTGTCATAGGATTGTTGGAAAATGAAACAAAGCCAGTGCGAAATTGATGGAAAAAGTTCTTTAAGGATTCTAGCTGGGATTTCATCAGGACCACATGCAGGCTTTACTGGGATTAAGTTCAGAGAGTTGCTTGGCTACACCTTGGGAGTTGATTATCAAGTCTGAGATGGAGGTGTATGGAGATTGAAGTTTATTTGGAATTGGAGTATTCTCACGGGTGAATGCTGAATGGAACTGGGAGTTAAGGGCGTCAGCTTTTGATTTATCTGAAACACATAATTTGTCGTTGAATTTTAATGGAGGTATGCCAGAGCTCTCAGATTTACTTGTGCGTGCATACGACCAGAATTTCTTTGGAATGGTATCTAAGCTTGCGCCAATAACGTCATTCAGATAACTACTGTGAGATTGGTTGACGAGACGAGAGACTAAGTTTCGTTCTTTCTTGAACTCATCCTAGTGTTTAGGTTTGTAGGATTCGAGAGTTTTTTATGTAGGCGATCTTTCAGCCGCATGTGCCGTTTGATAGCAGAGGTTATCCATGGAAGTTTATACTTAGGCGTAGATTTCTTGTGAGGAAAATAATCTTGAATACCTTTTGTCAAGGTTAATTTAAATTTGAACCAGTTTTCAGATACAGAGTTATGTTGAGGACTAGATAGGAAAACGTTTTCCGATGCATGTGACATAAATTCATCAAGCTTTGTGAAATCAGCTTTCTTATAGATGAAAACTTTTTGTGCGGAGGTTTGAACGTGGTCGAAACATTAGATACATTATTAGGGAATGAAGACAATAACAAGTCCAAGGTTTTGTTAGAAGCTGGACGAGTAGGTAACGTGATGTGACGTTTAAGGGAAAATCGTCAAGTGTCTGGAGAAGTTTCTTATGATGTATAAGGAATTGATTTCACTTGAAAGTTCTGGTGACTCAGATTTCCCGTTGATGTCTCCAAGGTTAAAATCACCACCTATAGAATGATATTTGGATGATGATTAGTCAAATCAAACACACAGTTTATAGATTTCTAGAGCTCATCAAGGGCTTCGGAAGAGGAGTTGGGAGGTCTGTAGGATGCTAGGTATAATTTCTTGGAATTCTGGAACTTTACTGAGGATCAAAGAATTTCACAGTTCGCATCGAATTTTGGCCATTCTTCGCATACAGTATCGGATTTAACAGCGTGAAAAACACCACCACCATTTGCATTTCTGTCTTTTTCTATAGACAGTGTAGTTGGATGGAAATACAGAGTAAGTGGGTATATCATTGTGTAGCTTGGATTCAGTTCCTAGAACAACATCAGGGTTGTGTAGGTGAAGTAAAGCTTGAAATTCTGTGAAACGGGATGTACTTTTCAAACCGTTACAATTGATGATCATTCCTTTTAGACGACGTTTAGCCGCTTGACTCGTTTAGGCTTAGGTATTGGATCAGGGGTTGAAGCGAATACAGTATTAGAATCTCGAGACGGAGTAGCCGGCGGTGATGATTGATTACAGCTATTTGCATTCAAGCACAAACCGCAAACATTTTCGCGCGTTTTTTTACGTTTGAAACGGGGCGTTTACCGTTGGAAACTGAAATGCATTCACCGCTCATGTGACGTGTTACAGTGCAAAGCCTAATTCAGTTATTTTTCATGTTCTGATGTGCTTTCGTGTTTCCAAGCTCACGATATTGTAAGAGCGACCAAACTTGTTTACATTCATACTTTTTGTGACTAGAACGTATTATCATGGGCTTGGAAATATTGAAACGTGCACGGAAGCACATCAAAACATGACAGTTGCACCAAAAATAGCTGCATGAAAGCTTTTCACTGTGACACATCACATGAGCGGTGAATACATTTCAGTTTCCAACGGTAAACGCCCCGTTTCAAACGTAAAAAAAACCGCGAAAATGTTTCCTGTTTGTGCTTGAAAAATAGCTGTATCAAGGGCGCTGAACGAGTTTGAGAGTAATGATGCGTTTTGAGATGATTGTTCAATAGAGATGTAGAGAAATTAGGGACGTCACATTGATTACAAATCCACATGCAGGAGTCGGACAGGGTATTGGGGTGTTTACATTGCAACAGTTAGTGTGGTACCAAACTGAGCACTCTTCGCATTGGATGGATTGAACGTTGGACTTAATAGACTTTCTGCATATCTTACAAGAGTACTTCAATATAGGGCCAGGATTAATTTGGATATCACCACATGAAAGGAGTATAGAAAGTAGGAGTTTAAGTTGGTTATTATGGCTTTTAGTCACGATGGTGCATGCACTCGCGAAATCTAGATGTGGAGAAAGTTGCGAGACATGCTTCAAAGCCAACAGGTATTGCTTCACTACGAGCGAAGGGGACGTTCAGTCCAAAACCAGGTAGATTGTAGGTGTATAATTGCCTTGCACGTGGTTGTAATTGCAATTTTCACTGGGGGGAGGGGGGGGGGGGGTGTGTGAGCAAAGCCAAATCTCTCAAATAGGACAAATAAAAAATGTTTATGCAAATATGACTAATTTGGTGGGGGTAGTCCGGTAACAGTTTGGGGTCACAGAAGCACCATTTTCTGCACTTTTGGGCTGTTTGACCAATGCTCTGAACAACTTCCCATCATTCAATGCGGGATGAGCGACTGGGAACGAGTCAGCTACAGTAGGGTCTAAAAAAAGATGGTCGATACACGATATATAAAAGATAGATATTAGATGCGAAGCGTAATAGGTGGCGTGGGAGAGGCTAATTGTTTATTTCTATCCGGGAAGAGGTCACAGCTCTATCTATAGATAAGTACACGACACATGTGAAAAACATTATACTGTATAGAGGACGTATTTCTTGTATTGTTTCAATGAAAGTTCAACAAAAAAATAATAAAACCTTTCTCGCCGAGTAGTCCACTAGTCAAGGACTTACTACTCAAGGACTTATAAAGGCAGCAAATCCAAAGACATTGAGCGCAAAAATAGGAAAATCAAAGAGGGAAATTCCACAGGCAAAGCACGAGAAATATAGAGTAAAAATACACATCGTGGGCGTATATGACACAGCTGTGGATTGAGATACATGCAACTACCTGAAAATGAGCAGAAACTCCCGACGAAGGGTCTTCGCTCAAAACGTCGAAGTTCTGCTTTAAAATTTTTAGGTAGTTGTATCTCAATCCAGCTGTCTTGTTATCGTCGCTACCCACGCTCGCATCAACCGTTCGACACTGATAAATCTATATTCATGTTGCCAAGTAGACTTGCCCACAAGTCGATCTCGAATAGCAAGCGGTAAAGACTTTGGGAAAGTCTAGTTCATGCCAAGTAGCAAGTAAACATTCCATATCTATCGAGTGAGATGCCCCAATTGCCCAAATCCTGATATTTACCCATACACCTAACATTGGCATCACCTTAGTATATTCACACACGAACTTGCGGTCAGAGCTCGACAAATGGTTATTTTACAAAATGGAGTTGGTTCTAGCGCTGCACCGGAATCGCAGGTCTGCAGGTTCAATCAAACAAATCAATGAATAGGTCTTCAATTGCATAGAATAAAAAAAATACATATTCTATGTTACAAAATATTGTAAAGATATAATTTCCTATATTTACATCAATTAAAAGCAGAATATACTCAATTTAATATACAGGTCATAATAGTTTCATTATTAAATGGCAAGATTTAGTTTAAAGTTAAGGCGATTTGCAAAGGAGTTCATAAAACGTTCAATATTTATCTTAGGTATTTATCTTAGGTATTTATCTTAGGCTTACACGTAGTCAACGTAGACATCTGAGATGGTATATTTGATTTCTCGATTCCTGCCAGAGGGTCTATATAGTTGCATTTTTCGCAACTGCTCCTGGTTAGGTCTATAACAAATGTATAAAAAATTCCACTCGAAATTTCCATCTACAAAATCTTCAACAATTATTTCTATTGAGTGAGATACCCACAATCCTGATATTTAGTCATATGAACACCATGTCCATGATGGACAAGTTTCATTCCAAGAAAGATTAATAACTATCCAGTCAGAGCGACAGGATGTATGGAGGAAAAATCCAAAAATAACTAACATCTGATTGACGTAGATTCAAATATTTTGAGAAAACACCGAGAAAGGAATTAGCCCCAAACGATATGGTAATTATGTCGCGGATAGAAACAACAAGTCATGACTCATGAGTTGAGAAGGGGGAGAAAATGAGATGACAAAAAAACATGAAAGTACACATTTTTACATTATGGCTGTCCTCCATTCATCATACTTCAGTGAGGATGAGAAGACGGGTAATCTGTTTTCAGTGTAGACAATAGATAGGTGTAATAGACAGGTGATAAAAGAACTTGAGAATTGTCACGTACTTGGACGATCCAACTATTCAGGAGTTATAACAGACTTCAACGACAACATGAAAGAGAGAAATTTGCATATGAAAAGATTCAGCCATCTACATGGCGTAATCAGTAATGCAAAACAAATCAAAATCACTTTTCTTTCATCAATTTATTGATGGATATTTTCATTGGGATAACATAATCTGTAAATTCCCACCTGCCGTGGAGCCAATTTTATAAAGACCTCTTAAACAGATTACAGTCGTAAACGAGTGTTTAGCTATAATCTTCTTATATTGCTCGATCGACTCAATAATCTTTCCTGCATGTGCTCCTGTTTATAACTTATCACATCCTATATCAGACATATCAACTTACATTGTTTTCTAGAATGTTGTCTTGCTTAGTCTCCAGTTGTTCGATAGTTTAACTACTTGTCTGTTTCTAACATATTCAACTTTATTAAATAATCAATTTAAGCAAAGCTATAAATGGCGGTTAATGGAGTAATATGATCTAGAAGACTTGCCCGAAGGTGTTTGCAGTCTGCCAACACATCTGCCGATCTGCGTTACAAAAATTAATCAGTACAAGGTCCATAGTACCTCGGTAGAACAAGGGAACCGTTTTCTAGTCCTGTTAATATAACAAAACATCAGATAAAAATCGAACTCATGTCAGAAAGAAACCATGTCACGGTCACCGACCTTATTTTCGAGTTAAATTACTTTAATTAAACCAAAAATATCCGCCATATTGAAACGTCATTGTTGCCATAGCAACGGCTGTTATAATATTGTTGAAAGAGTACGCATATTACAAAAAAGGTATATACTATAGAACAGTATACTTCATGTCACCATTAAATGTCAAAATGCAAAATGAAAAAAAAATCTAGTATAGTGCTTCGAACTCAGAGGTTCACGAAAACCAACTTGAAGGTCAGATGGTTTGTTTTCAGCTCAGGTTGAGCAGTTTCCCATTCTGTTTTTCGCCTACACTATAAACCATATAACCACAATTACAACTTATGAGGAAATTCCGTTCCCCCAGGGACTCCCCTTTAAGAAATCTGAAGTCTCTGAAATGTCGATCCTCTGTTTTAGGGAGATTTTATAAAAGGCAGCAAATCTCAATTGAAGAACTGTCTATTTTATGATTTAGAATCACACGTCCCCTTTCCTGTGTTTGAGAAGCCCCTCTCCTGAGAGAAGTCCTTCTTCTATATTTGCGCTTTTATGGCCAGAGCCAGTGTTCAACGTTGCAATAGGCGTGCAATACGAAGTTGAAACTGATAATTTCATCAATACTGCACACTTTCACATTCAATATACTGCATGCACACATTTCACAAAGAGTGCAGGAAATAGTTCGCACTAAAATAGGCCCTGTGCATTTCCCTCACTTCCATCAAGCTTCAATCATTAGACTAAGTGACTGAGATGATCTTCAAATGTGAGAACCGCTTAGGGGTTGGGCTAGCCCGCCTGACTACAATTTCTTTTTTGACTGCGGCCCCCAGCATCCCCCACCACCCCCTCTCGTACGGCTACGCCAGATAGACGAGCTAGCCCGCCTCATATAAACCTGCAGCCCCTCAGAAAGTCTTAGAATTCTTATAAGCACTATGAAATTTCGAAAACTATAGCTATGATCCGCCATATGGCAATATTTGACAACTCCAAATTTCCCTATATATCAAACCGCAATGACGTCAACTGTCAGTAAATTATGGCATATAATGCATTATCATTTTTCAACAACTATATATCTTATATCGTACTGGGTCTATGTTTACGAACTGTGGCAAACGTTATTTGTATGTTTGTTTTATGATTTTATGGCTGTGGTGATAAATATTTTATTTGACCCTCAGAATTTCGATGCTTGCTTAAATGTTCATGATGATGACGCACTTGTATATATAAACACATGCATGCAAACAATACGAAATTCTACCTGGTGAGTAGTGGTACAATTTCTATGCTGGGATTTAATATTACTTTGATAATAAATAATTTGTTTTCCGTCTGGTCAATTAGCTTATAAGAAAGAACAATTTTTTATGTGCGAAAATTTTTAAGTTAATAGATCAACTGAACAGTTTCGAACAGTTGGACTTGGATATGCAAATTGCCCATTTCAAAGCTAAATAAGTTAGGTTGGTCTACGAATGAGAAATTAAAAAATTTACCATGACTGTATCTACAGATATGCCGGGAAAGAAACTGTGTAATACAAGCAAAAAATATTTCAACAAAATTTGATTCAGTCAATGCATGCGAAATGCGAATTAAAAATGTTCACACATAGATGCAGAACATGAGGCAACATTTGTAAACATTTTCAATTAACATGCATGTAGGAAACCAGATGTTCAAATTTTGATTACAGTATACTCACGTAAGCATCTATGGCAGCATAATTTTCTTGCGTTTTTGAAAGTGGAAACTTCTCCCAGTCACTGCATCGTACGTTACTGTCTTTTGGTATACTTTGCTTGAACTAAAAAATTAAAATTATAGTATAAATAGAAGCATTTAAACCATTCCTGCATGTTCGAGTTTTTAACCAGCATTCCAAGCCCGTCATGATTTACAGAGGAAACACAATCGATAAACTATGCCCCTTGCTAGAAACTGGACAAGAAGATATTAGAGATCCACAGTTGACAGTTGTTGCCAGTACATATGCCAAGGTGGTGTCGAGACAACACGACATACGGAAACAAGATGGACGCGATATCGCTCAAGAAAACAAGGATTCGGACATGGTAAGAAAAGAAAAGACAACACAAGAAAATGCTGAACTAATCAATATAGACAATTCATCCCTGACACAGCAACAGAAAAGATGAAGTCTATATGAATGAACTACTTAGTTGACATTCGGGTGCAATTTCTAAAGGAAAGACTGATTTTAGAGAATTGAGTGTAACCCAATGCTCTATTGATACAGGGAATGCGTCAAGAGTACTGCACAAAGACTTCCTTCCAACAAGAAATTCAGTCTATGCTTGATATTGATAGCACTGAACCATATGACGTTAGTGAATTATGAATGACCTTCCTCAAACTGGTTTATCAAAGTTGCTCGGTTTGGTGTGACAGTGTAAATCTTTTCAAAGAGTTCGTTGAAAGACGTTAATCAGTCCTATTTTCCTTCAAACGTTTTCTGGTAAAAGTGTGATGACGAGAGATGTTGTTGCACTAGACTGTCACAGGATTCGCAAAGCTTTTAGCTTTCTAACGTAAGACCCCCTAGGGCACTCCCTCTGGCGATCTTTAAGCGATGCTATCAGAGTAGCAAACAATTACACACCGACACACGTAGATATAGTAAACAACTATAAACTATTAGCATTCACAAAATACGCCAGTTTAGCTATATACCTATAATCCTATATACCTAAATATACCTATACGATATACCTAATCGTCCACTGGACCTTCTAAAATTAATCAAATATATATACAGTACAGTTTAACCTATAATTGTACACAATAACAATGAAATCGTTGACTGAATGTTAATACTAACGTCTGTATTCTAAAAGCTCACTCACACTCACACTCAATGAGTGGAGGTTCAATCTGAGCTTCTCTTGAGTGTCAGTGCTGTTTTTGAATAGCTGGAGGGTGAGTAGTCACATAGTAAGGTATGACACTAACCCTCCAGTTATTCAAAAACAGCAATGATACTCGAGAGAAGCTCAGATTAAACTTCCACTCATTGAGTGTAAGTAACACTGGTGAGTAAGCTTTTATTACGGTTTTTATACGTAATCGAAGTCCACTCCATGTGTAGTAACAGTTTGGGGTTTGATATCCACAAGTCAGTCCATATTTGCGGTGCTTCTGTACGTAAAGATTTGCAAACTGTCCTATACATAACTCTATATTTAATTGGTAAAATGTTCGACTATCGGAAAAGAGGTTAGATGAAGATAATTTAGTTTTATCATTTACAAGTCCTAAAATAAAATAAAATAATTTGAATATGCATGATGCTAAGACAATAATTCCTCTACATGGTCAGTAAGAGCATACCACTAGTAAATATATTATAAAAATATATATAGACCAACATATTGACATAAAAGTTACCTTGAAATACCTCAAAAATATATCTAATTACCAAAGAAGCTTACTATACTTACACTTAGGTATGAAACACCTCAAACGTCTTCGTACTCTGGGTCTTCAGAAAACAGTTGCAATAAGGGCGAAAAGTTATAAGGTAATCATGGTGTCTAGCTGGTTGAGAATTTATACTAAAGTAACATATTTACGTCATAAATAGTTAGGGAAATTAGTGAGACATCGTTTCATCTGAACCTCAGATAATCTGAGATAAACTGCCAGGATTAATGTGAATTAAGAAACCCATCTGCCATCATTTTGCTTCAATTAGAATATACATCATGCAAAACAGCAGAATTGGCACCGATTTATATAATAACTATTAAGCTTGTTATAAAAATCGTTAAGAAGGAATCTCAAATAAAATTGTGATCGCATGAGATAAAAACATAAAATTGATAATAAAAAATATTCTGCTGCTTAAGAAAGACAAAAGATACGCGTGCTTATAGATGACTTTCATTCGCAATATATCCTGATAGCATGTTTGGCACTGGAATCGTTCACTTATTTCGTTATACTGTATGTCTGGGTTTTTTTGGCATTCGCCACAAGGGGTCACAATACTAACTAGCCAAGTGCGTTGGGTGTTTTAACTTGATAACCTTCAACCCAAAATCCATCCAAGGACCTCTCAGCTTGCGCCGGTTTTGGGAGATTACTATAGGGGCTTCAGGGGTACGGGAACATCTTTCTTCGAGAAATTATGAAATCGGAAACCGCTCAAGGTCTAACAAACGTAATAAATCCCCAGCTTTATTGTATATTTGATATAATAATTATGTTACCGCGCCGCCGGATTTTCCTTTTGATGCCTGCTTGCAAGATCTTTTAGGCAAATTTCGGAAACGCCTTATATTTGTAGGGCCATATCAGAAATATATTTCCTTGGGTATCAATTTGTTTACTGCAAAGTGATACATCGTTAGAAAAAATATGATAGAAAAACAATATTACATAATTTAATATAAGTTTTCTGTCCTTTTCTGGCCCTTTCCTCTCGCAATTCAATTTTGGTATTGTTTTCCCACACATCACACACACACTGTTAAACACCAAAACCTGCCTCCTCCGCAGGGCCTCGTTGCGTCATGGGAAGGTCACGATCTGGCGAGGACCTGCGGAATCTTGTAAAAAAAATGGCGCCGGCGTCACGTCAGCAAGTAATTTTATACATAATCTTGAATATAAACAGATATAAAAAAAGCGGCGTGAAGCTTGTAAATTAAATTTGCGACTCTAAGGACGTTGAAGGAAGCATTTTTTAACGATAAGGTTTGTTGTCCACACCAACATTGCACGAATAAAACTGCCTTCTTTAACGAAGCAGGTTCAAAACAACACTTATTCATTTTACAAGATTCCGCAGGCCCTCTCGAAATCGTGACCTTCCCATGACACAACGAGGGCCTGCGAAGGAGGCAGCACCAAAATGCTTAGAGGAGTCTGGGACGACTTCGTGAATTGGCTACGACTCGCTACCAATCCCTGTTATTACGTCATCTAGATACCGGAAGAAGCGAGTTCCATCCCGCTCGAGCAACGAATTTGTCGTTATTCTCTGCAGTGTCAGAATAATGAAACTAGTAGATTCTACAATTGGCCATTTGTATCACACGGCACAAGAATGCGACAAGACCGATCTGACCGCACAATAAGAAAGCTGCCTGGTAATAGCATACATGTTTACAAGTATATTGCAGTTGATTCGTCAGTTCGCTAGTTGATCGTGAGTAAAAATCTTCAATTTTAAAAATCCCACGCTTAAAATCAACAAGACAAACAAACGTCTCACAAATACAATAAACACGCTATAATTTAGATATTTTGTGGGCGACTTGCTATCACGAGATACATTGAGAGGGCAGGGCATGTGTTTCTACTCATGCAAAGGGTACTTGTAGACCACAAATGCTATTTTCAAAAACTAAATTGCCACTCTGTCGGATACAGTATGTAATGCAGTCAAATGGAATTAACAGAACACCAAAACAAATACAGATGAACAAAACCTTAATATGGTCACAACCTTACTGCACGAACTACTCAACAATACATCATTCTTTTGAAAACCATCATTCTTTTGAAAAACTACATCTGTTTTAAAAATTGTAACTCTGTCTGTTCGTAGTACTATGTGCAATATCGTGTTGTGCAATGTCGTGTTGTTATTTGATTGTTGTTGGCATGTTGCATACTGTATGTAGTTAGTCATAGCCTAATTAGTTGTTAGTTTTCATGTTACGTTATGTTCAGTGAGCCCGCAGTAATTAGGTAATCGCTGTTGCGGTCGCCCACTGGGTCACCCTGCCAAAGATACGGTAATGTAGTTCAGTTTAATTAATATTGTATTGTATTGTAATCTAAACTATTGACGAAGCTATTAAGCTAATAAATAAATGAAAACAAATAAAATAAATGTTCAAAAACATTTTTAATTAGACTTTCTTACGCGATGTGGCCACGTCTTGTCCGCCATTTTGGAGCCGTGGCAAACCGCCGAGGAACAACACAAGCGAAGCGGTTTATTTTTCCGCGTTTTGACCTAAATAAACCTAAATAAATATGCAACCTTATCGTATAGAACCTATGAATCCACTCCCATGCTTGTTACCGTCCACTTTCCACGCGAGTTCTGTAAAACACAGCTCCCTGTGTTTTACAGCGCCCTGCTCAAAATGATGTGCATAGACGCACGTATGAAAAACTAGTATATTTATATCCTGATGTCACAGGATATAAAGTTTTTCATATGTGCGTGTACGCACGGAAACGTTTAAATCTTTGAAAAGTTTAGATCTTTATTTAATGTTTCTTCAATTTTAATTTTTTCTTAACTGAATTAAAGTTTTGTATGTGTACACTGTTAGTGCTATTATCCTTACTTGCAGCTCAAAGCTAAGCTGAATTTACGAAGGACGCAGGTCAACCTGATCGAGTACAATACAAAACACAATACAATACAATTTGACAATACAATTTATTAGCACCATCACAAAATGTACAAAATATATATATGCACTACATTAACAATACATTTACCATATGAGTCGAGTCAAGGCTTTCTATGGGCGCGACTAGCAGTCACCTATATTATGACGCAATCTGATCATGCAGCACGGCTACAGTCAATCTCGAAACCAGAGCCCGCAATCCTATGTGGAGGCTTGCTGAGGCTCTGGGAAACACCGGTGAAAGTCGGGCTCTGATTGGTTGTTTTTCAACATCCTCGTCCCCAGGCCCAAGCGGCCCTCAAAGTTTTTCAAGTGCTAATTATTATTCAAACTTTGAGCCGTATTTAGTTATTCGGATTTCAAACATCGTTTAAAATTAATATAAAGTTTATTTCTCTTTGTGTATTATGTTTAAACATATCAATTGAAACACACAGCATAACATTAATAAACTTATTTTAATAAGTTTATACGGCATTATTTTTATTGGCATTAAAAGCTTAAAAGCTTTTCTAGCTTCTCATATGAAATCAAAAGACTATTCTATTTCTGATATTGATATGCTATAAATAACAAAATTAGAATAACAACAGTGCAGCATTACCATATTAGGTCATGATAACTGTGGCGTAGCTAGCGGTCCTGCTTGTCCTGCCAGCAGGACTAAAAATTTCCCCAAATTTCCTTACTAAAACATTGCTTTATTTATCTTGAAGCTTTAAAAATTTATCATTATCATATTGTTATTTTGTCTCATTTTTTCGTCTCTTTAGTTATCATTTTTTAAAAAGTTTTTCGCATTCTGTTATATTTACGCAATTTTATAGCTTGCCGTGTCTGTTACCTAGCAACTGCAACTCTACATTGATTTACACGCGACTCGTATTTCAGTCCTGCCATTTTCAAATGGCAGGACTTGCTAGTATATTTCATAGTAAATTCATACAAGAAATCTTGGTTTCTGATTGGATAATTAGGTCTGCGCATGCTCAAACCGACTGTTTACAAATGCAAAGTCCTGCTCTCTCGAAATGGCAACACCGCGGAAAAACGTCTGCGCATGCGTCAACCTTACCTGTAATAATATTGCGAACTTTATAACAAACGTACTTGCAGGGAGGTGAGTCCGGGATTGGACGCACCGAGGGTGGCTGGAAGTTTTCCGAACTTACCGAGCGAAGTGAGGTGAGTTCGGGAAACTTCCAGCCACCCGAGGTGCGTCCAATCCCGGACTCACCGAACCTGCAAGTACGTTTGGGTTTTATCCCATACACCGAGCCATACACACACTTGTAGCTCTTCGCGATATATTCGTCGATGTTTTGTGAACATTTTCCCAGCCAAAAAAATCACTGGGTAAGAAAATACTTCTTTATCTACGTCTACATTACCTTTCCTGCATTTTTTCTTTGGTTTTTCTTCAGTCCCAGTATGTTAGTCACCGAAAAAAGTTCTTTAAAGTTTAGGTTTACCGGCTAAATCTTGTCCGGCGGCGTGTCCGCCATATTTGTTATTGTTATTGCAACGTAAGCAGTTTAGCGCGTGAGCTCGGGCGAAAAGCAGGTGAGTTCGGCAAAAAGCAGGTGAGCTCGACGACAAGCTCACCTGCTCTAAACCAATCAGAAAGCCGCTTTTAACACAGGTATGGGATAAGATGAGAAGCTGTTCCGAACGTTTCCGAAGGCTCAAAATGGCGGTAAAAAGGAGTGACTTCATTGTGCGTCTTTACAGCCAGATTTCAAGCGCAAAAATAAACATGTCATTCTAAAAACTAGAAATAAATACAGCCAGAAGGTTCAAGAAATTGTATTGTACAAGAACATGAACTAAAGGTGATTGTTGACAAATTTATCGTCTGAAACATTTTGTTTATCAACTAAGCAATGACAATTTCCGAATTTTCGTTTGAGATACATTTCTTTAAAAAAAACTGTGTCGCCAAATATAAAAAATTTGCGTGTTCACAATAATTAAACTTTAGGATTTATTCTACAATTTGAGTGGGTTAAGAAGCTTAACTTTTCGAGAGTTTTCTTAACTTTTTAGTTTGAATTTTTGTTTTGAATAATTTTGCAAAAATTTTCGAAGTCGTGTCCGTTAAAATCAACAATTTTTTACATGAATTATATTTCATTCCATACTTTAAATGCCAGGACGCTTTCAATTAATGTCTAGTCTACCCATTTGCTATATTTTCTCATTTGTTTTACTAATTTTTGACCAATTAATAAGCATGTTTTTGTTTTAGAAATTTATATTCAAATTCCCCGCCATATTTTCATAATTTGGTGCATGCGCAGACGTTTTTCCGCGGTGTTCGAAATGGCAGGACTTGGCCTTGTATTGTCTTTACTTGCGAGCTTTCCGCGTGACTAAACCCACTTTTTACTAATTCTGTCGAGATTACTCAAGTTATGAATATGGAAATCAACGAGTGTGGAAGCCCAATGTGATTTTGATATAATTTCTGACTTCTGCTAAGATATTTTAGCTCACGAAATGCATGTGAACAGACTCGACTGATGATTGTGTATTTTTATAATACAATTTAGTATAATTACATAGGTGATTATTGAAAATTCTCCACACTGATTGGTTACCGTTGAGGTGATTATTACGCGATAATCACCTAAGCGATTTTCAAAATGGCGGCCGAAGCCGTTTTGTCAATTAATAGACGAAGAAACGAGCATTTTTTATTTTTTTCCAAATAATCACCCATGAAATTATACTAAAACAATTATTCACCTCAGGCTCGGTGATTATCGTGAATAAAAACCTCGACTTCGTCTCGGTTTTTATTCACCGATAATCACCTCGCCTTCGGCGAATAATTGTTAAATAATGGGAAATACAAACTTCATTTGTGAAGCCTGTACGTCGTATTGATATAAAGTAAGAATGTAATATTTACTACCAGTTCATCTGCTTTGTGCATTTGAAACGAGCACTTATATGGAGTTTAATTTTAAAAGTGATATACTGTACCAATTCACACTGTTTATGTAGATATTTGGCCGCATAGACTATATTAAACGCTATATTAATACCATAGGCATAACTGAATTACATTCAGAGTGCCAGGCGTAGTGATCTGTAGTTGATACCACTTCATTATATAAAGTTTAACACATTACTAACAAACGTACTGAATTTTTAACGAATGCTAGTGCCTAGTCGTAGCGTTATAGTGTATAAAACGCCGTGTTCAACAGTATAATAGTTACGCAATTGTTGATTATGTGAGGTTGGATGTGTTGATCAAGTGAAAGATCGTATTACAGACGCGTATTCATACACGGATATTTTCCTCTTTCGTGACTTGACTATATTTAGCCTCTGATATTTAGCTACACTATATTTTCAGTTAAGTTGAAAAATATATAGTGAAATATGATAAAAAATGCATGGATTTCAAAAAGTTGCAAATTTTTTTTTCTAAAAAAATTATCAAAAATTTTCCGCTAATCATGCAATTTTTTGATGTTCCCTTTGGAGTATTTCGCCGTGAAATCGCAGGAAATGGCCATTCCAGACTTCTAAAATTCAAAATTTCCCGGGGGAGTATGCCCCCGGACCCCCCCTAGAATGGGTGGGTCTTAGAGCAGGACTAGTCAACTTTCGCTAGCTACGCCACTGATGATAAGTCGTTGCCTATAATATTTAAAATAACACAACAATCCATGATTTACCGTAATTAAACAAGTTAAAATAAATCACTACCAGTATCTTACAACAATTCAAAACCATGGCAAGTGTTCTTTGAAGAATTAAAGTCGTAATAACCTTAAACAACGGCATAATTCATGTTTGACGGCACTAATGTCTATTTATAAATGTCGAGCGGAGTACTGGATCCAAATGTACTGATTTTCGTGAAAAGTCGCCGGTGTTTCCCAGAGCCATGACGAGCCAGACAGCTCCAGATTGGCAGCTCCAGATTGGCGAATCTGGAGCCAGCTCCAGATACAATTTCAATCTGGAGCTGGAACGACTAGTTTGTAAACAAACTGCTTCGGCCGCTTAACCACCGATGCATATTCAATTTGTTTGAAAGACCATTTTTACTTGTCATATTCCTTAGTATGTGATGGAAAATGAAAACATTTTTCCGTTCCATTCGTCCATGGTAGCTTCTGAAAGATCACTGTTTTTTAAGACAAAGGGGCTGGTCAGCGGTGGGATAGATCGCAAAGCTCGTTTAAAACCTTACTTTGTTACCTTTATAATGAAAAACTTTAAAATTTGATCGATGACCATTCTGGAGAATGTATTCAAAAGTAAATTCATGCGGTCAACTTATTCCCACATCGCGAAACCGCGATAAATAACTCGCGCAAAGTTGAACTGTCTAATTTCGCCACGGCCCGGCTGTGTTAATTTTATCCTTCCGTGAATACAACAACTTTGGTATCCGTCAATTTACGCTTTCGAGGAGTAAGAAATTGATATGTTGATGACATAATATAATTTCTTGCGCTTTTCTGAAGAACGAACGATATAAACATGTTTAATATCCGAAACACACAACGCAAACGAGATCGCTAAAAACGGTGTTATTATGCGGCTCAAGTCGTCGAAAGGCCATAACATGTCAAATACGTCTAGCATCGTCTAAATTGCTTCGCAAATTTCTTGCTAATTTCGCCCTGCCACGAATTTCTAAAAGATGACCCTTCTAGAGTAATATTCATACTATCATATTTTACAGCATTTGAAACTTTGGGATGCATATCCACCATGAGCAACTCGTGAAAGCACTAGCAATCGTTACCGAGTGAGAAATCAACTTTCAAGAGATGTGAAATATTACACCTAAACAATATTCCTTGTTATCTGGCACGTGCAAGACATTTAATATTCTCAGAGGAAAACCGTATTAACTATAATGTAATGCATAGGTTTATATACGCTGTATTCTTTTTTCAACACATAAGCTAAAAACATTTGCCCGTATAAGTTAATTAATAGGAGGGCTGTGTTTTAAGCATTCCTTATTAACATAATCAGCGCAATCGCAAATTCAAACCTACGCATGCTTTAAAAATATTTTATCTTTGTGAAAAAGCGTCGTGATTTCTCATGTATTGAAAAAATACAGCGCATACCTAAACAAGGAAAATTGCCTTGTTCCTATTCCTCGGCACTCTTAAATGCCTTGCCATGTCCTCATTGCATTTGCATGCCGACATTATAGTTAATACGGTTTTCCCCTGAGATTATTAAATGTCTTGCACGTGCCAGATAACACGGAATATTGTTTAGGTGTAATATTTCACATCTCTTGAAAGTTGATTTCTCACCTCGGTAACGATTGCTAGTGTTTTCATAAGTTGCTCATTGGGGATATGCATCCCAAAGTTTCAAATCCTGTAAAATATGATAGTATGAATATTACTCTAGAAGGGTCATCTTTTAGAAATTCATGGCAGGGCAAAATTAGCAAGAAATTTGCGAAACAATTTAGACGATGCTAGACGTATTTGACATGTTATGGCCTTTCGATGACTTGAGCCGCATAATAATACCATTTTTAGCGATCTCGTTTGCGTCGTGTGTTTCGGAAATTAAACTTGTTTATATCGTTAGTTCTTCAGAAAAGCGCAACAAATGATATTATGTCATCAACATATCAATTTCTTACTCCTCGAAAGCGTAAATGTACGGATTCCAAAGTTGTTGTATTCACGGAAGGATAAAATTAACACAGCCGGGCCGTGCGCGAAATTAGACAGTTCAACTTTGCGCGAGTTATTTATCGCGGTTTCGCGATGTAGGAATAAGTTGACTGCATGAATTTACTTTTGAATACATTCTCCAGAATGGTCATCGATCAAATTTTAAAGTTTTTCATTATGAAGGTAACAAAATAAGGTTTTAAACGAGCTTTGCGATCTATCCGACCGCTGACCAGCCCCTTTGTCAGAAAAAAACAGTGATCTTTCAGAAGCTACCATGGACGAACGGAACGGAATACTGACTTCATTTTCCATCACATACTAAGAAATATGTCAAGTAAAAATGGTCTTTCAAAAAAATTGAATATCCATCGGTAGTTCAGCGTCCAAAGCAGTTTGTTTACAAACTAGTCGTTCCAGCTCCAGATTGAAATTGTATCTGGAGCAGTGCTCTCACAATCAAATTTTCGAATTCCTTAGAAAAACTCGAAAATTCCTCAGATTTCCTTAAAATTCCTTAAATTGGTAAAATTACCAGAAGGCCTGATCACACAGTTGCAAAAAGTGTCTTTTTCCTCCTTTTTTCTGTTTTTCAGTTTTTATAACCTTGTTTCTAAGCACTAAAAATTGAAAACATTTGATTGTTAGCGTAATGCCATAAAGAAAACATTCAACATGATGTATTTTTGATCGTTGCTGCATGAAGAGCTTAAAAAATCTGTAGATTTCAGAAGAAACAGCATATACTGACATTTAACTTTTGAGAATTTCAATGAAAAGACCAGTGGCGGACACTTTACGAAACATTGGCCGGGGGGGGGGAGCTCGTGCCGAAGGCACGGACAAATTTTAAAATTTGAATCCCGGAAATGGCATTTGCAGCGTTCTGAGAATACATTTTGTAAAAAACTAGGGTTTCAAAACACTGTTTTAAGTTTTGTTATAAATACATGCCAAGCCATGTACAGAAACATATATATACTATTATATTATGATGACAATTATGTTATATGAGTGTGATTTGTGTTATTTGGTACTGGAAAAGACAGCCATATGTACATTTATGACATAGAGAACATACGAATATATGTAATTATGTGCGTATAATGTTGCTACTTTCAAGTTTAAATCTCATTTGCGTGGCGTGGTTATCCTCCGTCCAACGTTTTTAGTCCAGGATAAAATGTTTCGGAAATTCCTTAAAAAAATCCTCAAAAACCTAAATTCCTTAAAAGAATCCTTAAAACTCTTCAAAATTCCTATTTTTAAGGATAATTCCTTAAAAGTGAGAGCACTGATCTGGAGCTGGCTCCAGATTCGCCAATCTGGAGCTGCCAATATGGAGCTGTCTGGCTCCTCATGCAAGGCCCGGTATTTTGTACTTTCCGCGTTCGCCCACGAACGCGGCATTCTGAATGGCTGTTTGCTGTTGGATTCTATAATTAGGTCAGTGATTCATCACAAAGGCTCTCGATAAGCTCAAAATTCGAAAATTGATCACTTTTTTCGATTATAAATGGAACAAGAACAGACTGTTTATTGTTTACTTGAAAGAAGAGATGTTTTTGCCGTTATGCCAATGGGGATTGCTTGTCGTGAGGTGTTGGAATAGCAACATTACGACTGGGGTAAACTATAGTAACCTTTACTTGAGTTTCATTAATTTCAAACAGACTTGATACGTTATATGTTTCAAGAAAATTATCTTTTGGTTGATGTTGAGATGCAGTTGCATGTAAGCCTGTTTGAAACACTTTGCGATTTACAAGGCTTCGCTGAGAGAGCGAAACAGAAGACGGTATTAAATTGCCGTTTGAAACGAAACGATCTGGACTCTGAACGCTCTCTTCTTTTGTAGAGTTCTTTACCAAATGAAATAACTGAAATAAATTTACTTTCCGCCGCCAACAAGAAATTCGTCCTAATTTGCCTGTTCCGATTTTAGTTGAAAATGAGCACTTGCAAATTTGGCAATTACTGACTGCGTTGCTTGCTTTTTTGGAGTTAAAACGCTGCCATTTACACATTGTTTATGTTCTGAATAAGCAGAGAAAACCCCGCAACATTTTAATGCGAGTTTGTTTGTTAATATTTGGGTGCTGTCATTGGTTCTTTTTTGACAATTGACGCGCGAATGGGGCGTGTTATGAAAAGGGGCGTTTCACAAAATACCGGGCCTTGCTTGCAGGCCCACTATCAGTTCCCTTGGGCCTGCACGCGGGCTAATAAAAAACTAGCCCGCATATCAGTTCCCTTGGGCCTGCACGCGGGCTAATAAAAAACATGAGCAGCCGATCAGCCGAAACTGTATACACATCTGCATGATTAGTTACAAGGCGAGCTGTAGTGGTAAATCAGTGGTACAGTAACATATGCTCTATATACCAATGCATGCAAATAATTAATCAAGTTTACCAACTATTGTAGGGATATAGTTGTTTTAACTAAGAAAACCTAGCATATAAATTTAGGTAAATCAGGATGAAATCTTCATGTATATGTCCAATTTACTGATAGCGATTACAATTCTTTTGAATTTTCGGATGAATTATTAATAATATTTCTTAATAATAATATATTAATAATAATAATATTAATAATAGTCCATAGATCTGAGAACAGACATTGTAGGCCGGATAAAGCCTATAAATATATATAAGGCTGACGGAGCTTTTCTTTGGTGTTATATAGTCCCTAAATCACTGATAATTACCTTATTTCTATTAGTAGTTAATACGTTTTTCATCGTTCTCCACTATATTCAATGTATATTGTGGTTTTATTATCATTACTAGAACTTGATATCCAATATTATAACTCTCTAGGACATACTAAACCGAGTTTGGTACCGAATCTAATACAATTCATACGCCTTAAAATGTTAAATAATTTGAGTTCACGTTCTTAATCAAACATGCACCTGTTATATTCATTATATAGGAAGCAATGAATGAAATCGACCTGGATAAATCAGGCACTGTTGACTTTTTTGAGTTCTTAAGTGTAGCAAGACTTGTCACACAGCAGAAAGGTAAGTTTTTTAGATCCTCTAATTAAGGCTCAGTACTGTATTCAACATACAGTACATAGCTCTCTATATTTTTTAACAGCCCATAAAAATTGCTGTTCTTAAATTTGTCAAACAATACATCGACATTTGAAAAAACTTGCCTTGTGTTTTACGATTTCCCGCAATACATTTCCCCTAATCCGTTTTTATATGAAGATACTGCAGAATAACAACATAGCGACGCACCTGCGATCATTGCTGGAATTTTCAACCCTCCTTTTCACGTGTGTAGATATATAACCAATCAGAAATAGGGACTATATTTGTCAATAATTTGTAAACAGTGAAATTGCAAACAATGTTAGCTGACTTTTTTGTGGTCAATTTTTCTTATTTTATATGGTCTATTATAACATATTGCGCAGGGACGGTGAAATTACCTTAGTGTGGCTATTTCTTGACTAAATTCAAGTAACAGGTGTTTCTTTCGAAAGAATTAATATACAATAGCGTAATGGATACGGCACTAACTCTACTGGGTTGGGGGAGGGGGGGCTGTGTCCAGAAAAATACTCCTCCGAGAAAATTTTGAATAATATTTAGTCCCTCAGAAAGCACAGAAATGCAACTAAAATTTTGCATTTGTAGCATGCGTTCACTTTTAACTTACACGTTTGTCCGTCAGTGCTGTTATAATTTACCAGAAAATCATCCCAAGTCACCTCTCAATTCGGCCCTGTACTCATATTGAGGGTGTTACACCCCTCCACACCCTCGGTCGCTTCGGCCCCGATCATGTGTATTAGATTTCAGCGTAGGTATAGCGATGAACAATATTCATGATTGAGCTCGGTTGTAGAAATTAACTACACCTGTATTATGCTGTAAATATAAAAATAACTTTGACGTTTCAGCGAAAGACTGGTAGACAGTTTCAGCAAACGCAACGCGACGTCAATCAGGACGTGAACATTACGTCATACACCTTGCATTTACTTCCGGTTTGAATCTGCGACTTCTATCTAGGACCTGTATATGAGTTTGTATGCGTTTCATTTAGGACACATATCACACAGGTGAACCATCACACAGGTGAACACATATCACACAGGTGAACCATCTTAAACAACATATCTTTTAAAACCAGAGATTCTGCCGTATTGGATTGGCTATTAACAAATAGACCTAAGATGTTTGAAGTATCTAGATTGCCAAAGGTTGGTTCGTCTGACCACTATACGATCTTAGCAAAACCAAATATAGCAATATCATCTAAACACACTATTACCAAAATTAGAATCCGAGACATGCGGAACTCTGCGTGGTGTGCCTTTGGACGATGGATAACCAAAAAAAACTGGTCATCGGTATTAAGTGCGAGTACGAGCAAAGATAAATTTGACCTTTTTATGTCAGAGCTTGACCAAGCAGTTAATACCTTTCTCCCACAGAAAATGATTAAAAAGCATCCGACAGATCGACCGTGGATTACTAATACGATAAAACTGTGGATTTCTAGACGCCAATGTGTATTCCAACAACAAGGAAAAAAATTCTAAAGACTATAGTTTTTGGAGCAATAAGGTTCAACGTGCGATCCAGTCAGCAAAATCCAATTACTTTCATAGTAAGGTAGCAGATGTTGATAGAGTTAACCCTGTAAAGTGGTGGAAAGAGATTAAAAAACTATCAGGTCAAAATAACCGACAGGAATGGTATCATCAGTTCCTTGATAACAACACGGATATAGAATCCCTAGCTAATAAAGTGAACGACTTCTTTGTTAGTCTTACAGATCACTTCGCCCCTCTGAGCCAACCAACTCCACCTATGCAAATCCCGGAAGAATTCTTGGTTACGGAAAGTGAGGTGTTTAAAGCATTAGCATCACTGCAAATTAGTAAGGCGATTGGCCCTGATAATATCCCGAATAGAATTCTGAAAGAGTTTGCTCCTGAACTGGCTCCAGTCATTCGTAATATTTACAACCAGTCAATGAAAGAAGCGAATATCCCATCACCACTTAAGTCATCTATCGTAATTCCAGTTCCGAAGATATCACCTCCTCAAACAATTGAAAATGATCTCCGCCCAATCTCGCTTACTTCTTCAATGGCAAAAGTTATGGAAGGCTTTACTTGCACTAGACTATTAAAGGACTTGGAAGGAAAAATCGACCCTCGCCAATATGCCCGCAAAGGGCACTCAACAACAGATGCCCTTCTCTACATGATGCAAACAATTCATGAGGCATTGGACGGGGGCGAAGCTGGTGCTCGTATCTTTTTCGCAGACTTCTCAAAAGGTTTTGACCTAATTGACCACTCTATTTTAATACAAGAACTGTATAAGCTCCAGGTTCACCCTGCCTTGCTGTCCTGGATCTCAGCCTTTTTATTCAATCGTAGGCAGGCGGTTAGAATTGGTAGTGTCCTTTCTCAATGGCAAACTCTGAAGGAAGGAATACCCCAAGGGACTAAACTCGGAGTGGTGCTCTTTATGGTCATGACAAATAGCTTACTGGCTAATTGGCATCTCCGTACAAAATTCGTGGATGATACTTCAGCCCTCGAGATTATTCCTAGGAACTCTATCAGCCTCCTTAATTTTGCAGTCTCTGATATACATGAATTTGCTAATGAACATAACATGAAGCTCAATCCTAAGAAGTGTAAGGAAATGCTTATAAACTTCCTACATAATCCCAATTTCTTACTCCGACCAATCCAAATTGGTAACAATATTATTGAGCGTGTAACAACGTATAAATCTTTGGGTGTCATTTTGAGTAGCGACCTAAAATGGAATCCCCATATCGAATACATTGTTAAGAAGGCTAACAAAAAACTATACCCTTTAAGAGTCCTGCGAAGAGCTGAGGTTGACCAAAAGAATTTACTGAAAGTGTACCTGTGCACAGTAAGACCGGTTCTTGAGTACGCCGTCCCTATTTGGCAAGACATTCCGGATTATCTATCGAAGGAAATTGAGTCGGTCCAAAAACGAGCACTAAAGATAATTTTCTCGGAGAGCGAGTCATATGCGGAGGCCCTGAATTTTGCACAACTACCAACTTTAACCACAAGAAGAGTGCAATTATGTCAGAAATACATGGTCAGAATGAGGCGAGAAAACCATCCCTTATTGCCAATCCCTGTTGTTCCTGACCATGACATTAATTTGAGACAGAACACTGATCGATTTTATCTATTTAATAATGTTACTGATTGCAGAACAATTAAAGCTCAATCCTTTTTTTACATTTAAATACTCTTAATATGTAAAGTTTTTTTTTTAACATATATGAAAATTGTAAATAATTATGCATGCACTATTTACTATTTTGGTAAATGCTTAATGATTTTAACTCTTGTAAATAGCCTAGATTCTAAAGCATATCCATGTACTATTTTATAGCATATTCTTATCTATTGTAAAGTACTCGTTAATTCAGTTGTTTCTGTAACTGCAAGAGAGTCCTAATAAACTATTACTATTATTACTATTACTATAGGACAGGTAATCTCAACTGTTTTAGGGTAAAATGACCATGGCGGTCAACATGGCATATGTGCCTAAACCTGAATCCGGGACGACAGTCCTAAAAATGAGCCCGTCCTGAAACGGCAGTGTCGACATAGCTCTAACTTCCGAAAAGGAAAAGCAATAGCCTTTCTGAAGTGCTTATAGTGTTCAGAAGGGTTGGTTTTAGGGGTACGTGGTCACTGGAAGGAAAAATTTGTCTAAGTATAATATTTTACAAGAAAATGACCATGCACCACCCCAGGTGAATTGCTAATTTTACACAAAATAACTAATATGCCTGGCAGAAATTAAATTTTCTTATTTCCTAAAAGCAATTATCATGGGGTGAAAAACTATGCTCAATTTAATATAATTATTGTGGATTTCATAGGGTTTGTCATTATTTTCATTAAATATAATACATTTTATTTCACTTACCCCCCACGAAAACACGATTTCAGCCATATTTTGCCGTCTTGTTTGCTTTTTATCGCCGAATATGGCAAATAGACCATAGTTTTACACCCCATGATTTTTTTAGGAAATAAGAAAATTTAATTTCTGCCAGGCATATTAGTTATTTTGTGCATAATTAGCAATTTACCTGGGGTGGTGCATGGTCATTTTCTTGTAAAATATTATACTTAGACAAATTTTTCCTTCCAATGACCACCCCCAAAACCAACCCTTCTGAACATTGTAAGCACTTCAGAAAGGCTATTGCTTTTCCTTTTCGGAAGTTAGAGCTATGTCGACACTGCCGTTTCAGGGCGGGGTCATTTTCAGGACTTTCGTCCCGGATCCAGGTTTTGGCATATATGCCATGTTGAGATTACCTGTCCTAAATGAAACGCACACAAGAAGAAGAAGAATTTGAAGAAGAAGAAGAAGAAGAATAATTTATTCGCACCAGTCAAAAATACATAATTACAAATTTTTTTCCACTCATTATTAAAACAGAGTTGGCACAGGATATCTGAAGTAGCTTTAACACTAATCGAAGTCAGATAACCAAACAAACTCATATACAGGTCCTAGACTATTCGTATTTATCTTTTTCGCCGCTTGCATATTTTTTTATCGTTTTCAATATGTCAAGTTATGTGTACTAGATGCTTTATTATGGGTGCGGAGTTGGTGCAGAGTGTTTTTTGAAGATTTTCAATGAACATTCAACAAGTTGTTTTTGAACAAGTGAATTTTATCGCAATATTCGGATGAAACCGCAAAAGCTTCAGGTATTGTTGACGAGTTAAATATTTTGGTTTCTATTTGATTTAATCAAATCTAAGCTGTTCGATATTAATCGGCATATCAGAGTTTACATTAGTGAAATTCAATGTTGTTTACGACTGTTCTCCACGCCAGGTACTTGATGTAGTTTCCGTGCACATATGTCAAGGCAACTAAAATTGTTCTGTTTTTATTTGTTTAAGTGCTTTAATTATTCTACATTCCTACTTTTTTCTACATTTTAAAGTCTTGTTATTGCCGTCTGACAAAATGTCCGATGCTGCGAGTTTGGGTCGGACATGATATGTGTGATGATGTCCAATGTCGACGATCTTCATTTCAGTTTGGCTCGGAAATAAGTCTGAATGATATGCACGAATTAATATCAGCACAGTGCTGATATTAATTCGTGACAGCACAATGTATTAATTCTGAACGTTAAATGTTGTGAAGATATAAAATAATTTGCGTCATTCATATACTTTATTTCCGAGCCAAAACTATTTTAATATTTTGGCTCGGAAATAAAGTATATGAATGACGCAAATCAACTAAAATTGATTGCAAAGAACCTCGCCAAGAGCAGCAGTAAGACTTCGTCAACTTAAAATGGCTCCCTACAGACTACAGTTCTAAAGAAACAGCAGCGAAAAACAAGGTCTTCACAATGACGCAAAATATTTGCTATTTATGTGGAATGGGGAAGTAAAACGGCTTGCGTAATCCTTATACTTCGAGCTAGTTTTGAATTAAACGTTAGAAATTCATTACTCAACTGTCAATTTAACGTAAACAAGGTTAGAGACGAGTGAAGCAAGGTTAATGCAACAAAATACATGGAATATCTTCGTTTAATACACCCTTTCGATAATTACGTCACAACTACACTTTTTTCAACTTAGGACCACTTTAATGAAAAGGATTTCAAGTTTTTTTCCTCATGGGCTATGCACAGAGAAGCAGAACATCCTTCTTCAACACATGCGCGAAAAACAAGTTTGGATTTTGATCAATAAATATGGAAATAAGCATTAACACGAAAACGAGGCTCCAGGTCATGACCTTGGTCAAAATAAAGAACTCTTTCATGTATGTGTTGAAGAAGGATGTCTGCTTCTCTGTGCATAGCCCGTGAGAAAAAAAACTTGAAATCCTTTCCATTTAAGGTGGTCTTAAGTTGAAAACAATATTATCGAAAGGGTGTATTGCAAACGTTTTTTGCTATTTTGGTATATTCACCCAAATTGGTTCATTTTAGAGCTTTATAAATTCTTGTGAACTTCCATTTCTCTCAAATCATCAATCATCTCGATTCCAGTGTAATTGACATATAATTTTAGCACATTGCGGGCATATATTTTTCAACGACAAACACAAAATACCTATCACGTCACCTCGTTAAGCCAAGGCGGGGTTGCTTGAAAAAACCCAGTTGTTTCGCAGTTTACTGGGAGCAATAGTACTTGGTTTTTTACTTTGCTAAAATTGCTAGTTTTTCACCTTAATTTTCTCATATCTATATACAGGTACGTTGTGCTAACAAAAAGTTACTAAGCCAGAACAGTGTGCTTCTCTTTCTAGCTTTTGATAATAGAATGAAATGAAGAAAATACTGAATTTTGGCAAATCGCCTCTTGTGCAAGTTTAAATTGTACGAAAAAGGCGACTCAGAAAATGTGTTAAGTATTTTTGTTTTGAATTTCACAATTTTATTGAAGCTATTAGACGACATTTTGTGAAAGGAAATTTTTTGCTCTGTTTTGTTTTGGACTGAAATAATCGATATTAATAGTTTACATTGTAAACATGGTGGTGGCAATAGAGGAAATCATAGTATTACTGCAACATTTTTTTCCAGTTAATCCAATTTTTGTGGTGATTTGTGGCCCTAAACAGCCGCTGCAAAATTGTTTCATGTTGTTTATGTTTTTAATCAACCAAACGGAAGCACAGTTTTCGCGCATGCTCAGACAATTTCCCCACTTGTTGTCCCAAATACAATGTTAATGACGTCCTAGATTAATCCGGAAGTAAAAATCACACTTGCCCCAGCACGCCATTTTCACGTCCTCGTCGCGTTGCGTTTGCTAAAGTATGCAGTCTACTTTCACCTGGACGTCGACGTCTGTCAGCAAAACACGTGTGCTTCAATCCGGCTACATTTGGCTACATTCTCGGGGGTGGAAACAGAATATTGAATACTGAGTTTTAAAGTAGTTTGAATATGACTTTTTATTGTAGGAATGTGAATATTCTCAGTCATAACATGCTTGTTTTATATTCCATTAACGTATATCAATAAATTGATTCTACTCGAGAATTCACCTAACCTGTCTCCTCGTTTGCTATCTCTGTTTTTATTCATGGAGTCGTTTTTCGTTTAATTTGTAGGAAAATCTGCCATTTTCAAAAAGAAGAGGCTTACTGCACTACAAAAGTCCACACAAGCCAGTTCCAAAATCTGTGTCATACAATGAAAATATTGCCCCTCATCAAAGTTATCGCTTCTTAATTGCAATTTTTCCAAATCTGACAAAATGCTGTTAGTTAGCGGAAACACCACTGTCCTTCAAAATAGAATTAAACAGGTGGGGAAATTGTCCTTGTTTATTGCGGGCAAATTCTTTCTGCCAGCCAGTTTTGTTGAAAACAACGAAAATTCAGTTTAGCCCAAGGCGCTTGTTTACACGCATGAACACAACATACACGCATGTAGTCACCAGAAGACACGTAGTTTATACACACTCAAAATACACGCGCATTTCTTTTGCGCATGCTCAGACAATTTTCCCACCTGTTGAAAAATGACAAAATGTGAGATAAGAAACAGTTTTTTCTTAGTAGTGAAAATAATTGGCTCAGTATGAAAAACTCAGATATTTTCTGAATACTTCATTTGTCAATATATATGTTCGATTGTGAGTTGAACTTACTTGAAAACATTAAAAACGATATATACAATCAGTTTCAAATGTGTTGGGATAGATGCACCAACTGTCTACCTATTATTCTGATAAACCTCCGTCCTTCCCGCCCCCATTTCATTCAGTTACTTTAGTGTGATCAGGTAAACAACATTGAATGTGGAGGGGGAGGGAGACAGGGCCGCCGAGAGCTTGGCGGGGGCCCGGGGAAAAAAATTTTTTAGGGGCCCCTATTGCAAAAAAAATTTCTGGAAAAAAATTTTTCGGACAATAAATTCTTTTTAGGTGCGTTATAATTGCTTTCGTTGGACTTTTCTGCAATTTTCCATACCAAATTTCGGTTCATTGCCCCCAAAACACAAATATTTTGGCCCGAAAACAGAAATATTTCGCTTGAAAAAATGACTGGGGCCCATTAAATTTCTAACATTAAATTTCTAGGGGCCCCCAGAGCCTCGAGCCCGAGGCAATTTGCCCCCCCCCTGCCCCCCCCCTCTCGGCGGCCCTGGAGGGAGATATAAAAGTTTGTAGTGGCCAAGGTTGCATTTCTATATATAGGTGTCAGCTGGCTCTGCGTTGCTCTAAAATTGTATATAAATTTTCTTTCGAACATTCCGTCTGCAAAAACACAATCTACAAGCCCTGCAATCCTTCACAAAAATTATTGAGACTTGCATATTTATTTGTAAAATTAGCAAATTCTTACCCTCAGGAGCTCGTCCTTTCTCTCCCCCCCCCCCCCCCCCCCCCCTTCAAA